TATATATATATATATATATATATATATATATATATATATATATATATATATACATACATATATATATCACTGAATGATATTATGGAATAACTTGACAACCTGTTGCAATATTTTGTGTATTGGAGTAATTTACTGTTTAATAATTTTTACCCATGACTCTGGCTATGTGTTCTATTGTTTTTTGTTTTAGTGTTAATTCTGGTTATCATCACTGGTTTAGTTTACTTTGATGCTCAGATTATTCTGTCATCAATGTATGGTCTCAATGAACAGTCTAGATTAGCTAAAAAGATGGTGCTGGTTATTTGTTGGTGATGAAAAATTTTGGTGAACTGTAGATATTTTATTCATCATTCATAGTGTTTGTTAAGCTTCATTGAATTCTTGCAGGTTGCTTCGACACATCCGCTGGCAGTTACAAATTGCAACATTGATATGGAAAGCTTAATCTCAGACCAAAACAGGAGCATTGCAACTCTTGCTATAACGACACTTTTAAAAACAGGAAATGAGTCAAGTGTTGATCGCTTGATGAAACAAATAACAAACTTTATGTCAGATATCGCAGATGAATTCAAGATTGTTGTTGTGGAAGCTATAAGATCTCTGTGCTTGAAGTTTCCTCTCAAATACCGTTCAATGTTCGTAAATTGCACATTTAAATTCTTAGTTTGTAAGATTGTTGATTTACATGAAGTTAAAATTTCTTTTGTTCAACTTGTTGGCTAGGATGAATTTCTTAAGTAACATTCTTCGAGAAGAAGGGGGTTTTGACTATAAGAAAGCAATTGTTGATTCAATAGTCATACTTATCAGAGATATACCAGATGCTAAAGAAATCGGCTTGTTTCATCTCTGCGAATTCATTGAGGATTGTGAGTTCACATATCTGTCGACTCAGGTAATTCTCTTTTGATGCCAATCTTCAGCTATAGCTCAGTGGTCTTTTCCATGTTCATTTGATTGAATGAGAATCAGCTGCTTCATACTGTTTCTGCTAGATACTTCACTTTCTTGGTAATGAAGGACCAAAGACTTCAGATCCTAGTAAATATATTCGTTATATCTACAATCGTGTGATACTTGAAAATGCAACTGTCCGAGCTTCTGCTGTAAGTACCTTGGCGAAGTTTGGTGCAATGGTTGACTCGTTAAAGGTACCCAAATATGTTGTTTTCTTAGAGAAATATTTTAAACTAATAATCTGTCACTTACTGCTTCCGTAATTTGGCTATTTTCTGCAGCCTCGTATATTTGTTCTGTTGAGACGTTGCCTATTTGATACTGATGATGAGGTAATAACTGCATATCTTCCTAAATACAATCATTTTCCTAGCGAATGCATGCAATCAGTTTTTTTTCAATGTGGCAATATCTAATATTTCCGAAAGTCTGTAAAATATCTGGCACTTCCTATCCTCTAAGTTTATATTCAATATGTACTGTTAGTTAAAAAATGGTTCCCTCTTGCATGCTATTGGATATTCCTAAAGTTGAAATTATGTAATTATTTGCCTTTAGTAAGCATGATTATTTGCTGCCAAACACTTCGCAGTTTATTACTTGTTAGAACTTGTGGCTATTACAACATTGCAACTTTCTGTTTGCTTCGTGGGACGTTTCTTGGATATGATAATGTCTCTTCAAATAATTCTTCAAATATCACTTTCTCATTCCACTATTATTTGACATAGGTTAGGGACCGGGCGACACTTTATCTGAACACTCTAGGAAGTGATGCTTCTGTTGGTGGAACTGACGAAGATGTAAAAGACTTCCTATTTGGTCCATTGGACGTGCCACTTGTCAACTTGGAAACAAGCTTGCAGAACTACGTACATGCCCTATATTATATTGTTATATGACACTGCATAGTTATTTCTCTGACTTACTCTTTTTCTTACTCCTTCCCATTTCTTTAAATTCAGGAGGCTTCAGACATACCTTTTGATATTAATTCAGTTCCAAAGGAAGTCAAGTCGCAACCTCTTGCTGAGAAAAAGGCTCCTGGTAAGAAGGCAATTGGTTTAGGGGCTCCTCCGAGTGGTCCTACCTCAGTTGTTGATGCATATGAAAAGTTGCTTTCTTCTATTCCCGAGTTCTCCAGCTTTGGAAATCTCTTCAAGGTAATTGTTGCATTTTAGTATTGTCATTTATAGTTATTATATTTGCATGACAGTTTAAATTTTTTTATCGTTTTGTCAGTCGTGTTCACCCATGGAGTTGACCGAGCCAGAAACTGAATATGCGGTTAATGTAGTGAAGCACATCTTTGATGGCCATGTTGTGTTCCAATACAACTGCACAAACACCATCCCAGAACAATTACTAGAAAATGTATTACCTATCTCAGGGAACAGTTTCTCCATTAATTCCGCTTATGCTTAAAATGTGTTCTGATTTTCATTTTCCCCAGGTTACTGTTTTTGTTGATGCATCTGAAGCTGAGGAATTTTCAGAAGTCCTAACAAAGCCTTTACGATCCTTACCTTATGATTCACCAGGGCAGACTTTTGTTGCATTTGAAAAACCAGAAGGTGTTCCTGCTATTGGAAAATTCTCAAACCTTTTAAAGTTCGTGGTGAAGGAGGTTTGACTTATGGCTTGTTTACTCCAATGTTGTTTCGCATCTATTTATGTGTGCTTCGTTATTGTCATGCTTCTCTGTTTGAAATAGGTTTGGGGATATTGGAGGATTATTTCCCTTGGAAGTCCAACGATCTAAATGTTCCAGTTAGGGTTACAATAGATACTATTTTCTTTTTATATCGGTTTGATTTCCTTTTGCTTGTTAGTCATATTATTTTTTTGTGCTATGAGTGGGCATCGTTAAGGTCCTTTCCCATTGTTAGTATAGTAGTTGTGAAAATCAATGATAACATAGTGTGTCTGATTATGATAAGTAGCATATAGCTTCTCAAGAAGGCTTCTAGATTATTCTACTGAAATAAGTGGAAGCAAATATGCAAAAAAATACTAGTTTTGGCTGTCTTGGTTTAGGATTGGTGACAACAGCTGTTTTGTTTAGCAAGGACAGCTGTTTAAAGAACTACTTGTCATGTTGCAGGACATCACATTCAAAAGAATGCTGCAATGTCTGTGGGAGTTGAGTTTTGTGTACGATATGTTCCATTAGATCTTCAATAATTTGTCGGTCTCCTTGGAGGAGACCAATGGATCATCATTTGGTTTTTCTTGTATTAACCTGGATTTTGACTCTTTAACATTCTTTAGGTATTTTAGATGCTTATGATGTTATCAAATCTAAATAGTGGAAGAAGTTCCGTTCTTTTGCATTTCAAGTTTAAGATGTGTGCTACTTTGGATAAATGAAAAGCATGCTTTCTCAAGAAGATTTGCATTCAGTACATTCACCTTGGATTAGTTGAGACTACTTAGTTACAAGGTCATACGTTAAGAAAAAGCTGCTCTATTGGATCTCTCTACATGTGCTTCTACAAAATCTTTGATCCTGAAATTCTTCTTTTTTCTAGGTAACGGTAAATAAATTTGTATAATATTCCACAGCTCATTGAAAAATATCTCTTAACAACACACTATATGCGCACACATCCATTCACTCTAGTACATTTGGTTTAGAGCTCACAATACACAAAAGATATGGAAGCATTGCTGATATCCATGGTAATTAAAATATCAGCAAGTAGTGCCAATTCTTTTCATCGTAAGTTACAATTTGATTCTTTCTTATTGGTATTCAATTGACCTTTTCTTCAGCTAAGAAACTATATTAAGTTGACAAGATTCATATGTGCAAGTATTGTTTTTAATTGCTTTGTGTGCATGTCTGGATACAAAACAATGGGAATATTAGGGGTTGTGAGAAGAGTCTTTATCCTTACCTCATAAATATTAACTTTTGGTAAAGCCACATGAAACATGCAATGTGGAAATATAGGTCTTGTGCTTGTCCTAAAGACATGTTCAAATGCTATGGTAGAATTCCACCATTCTATATTATGTAGAGTGGATGTGGCTTAATGGGGGTACAAGGAGTCCGCTATGAAACATGTGAGCATGGTTCAAACTTCAAGATGCTGATGTCATTCATGCATACAGTGCTACAGTTGCCAATTACATTAATGTTGAACTTCTCAAAATCATTATGTCGGAGGACATGACAATGCACATGGTGCGGTCTCTTTAAATTTTGATTACATTTGGCTATTGTGATTGTGTTCGTGGTTGGACAAGTGAAGTGCTGGGAGTAATTTGGATGCATGGCTAGCCTCTCCTATATACTCCCGATGTGGAGGGAGTATTTTCCTGACCACCTATTATCTTTGAAAAAGTTGTGGTAAAATAAATTGGCTATATGGTGACTTGCTTGGGAAATTATAAAGATACTGCTTCCACATAAGTCAACTTCTCTCATAAGGCATGCCAAAATATGCAAGCGTTAGAACATATAAATATTCTTAAACAAAGATGTCAATAGAAATGGTAACTTTTGACTAAATTCAACAATTTAGTGTCAGCTACATTGATCTTCTACTGCTATTGCACCTATTTTGTCATTGTTAGGGATACAGTTTCTATTCTGCATCATTTATACAAATTCAATCATTATTCTCCTTTTATCTATACATCAGGTAGATCCAGCTACAGGGGAAGCAGACGAAGAAGGTGTCGAAGATGAATACCAGCTAGAAGATCTTGAAATTGTCGCAGCTGACTATATGTTGAAGGTGGGAGTCTCCAACTTCAAAAATGCTTGGGAAAATTTGGACCCAGATAATGAGCGGATTGATGAGTATGGTCTTGGTGTGAAAGAAAGCTTGGCGGAAACTGTTAGTGCAGTTATAGATATCCTTGGCATGCAGCCTTGCGAGGTTAGCTAATTCAATTAACTCTTCTTGTAAACTGTGCATTCTGCCCTCACTTTTTATTGCAATCAACCGGATAGTATGCAACACATACTTCTTATTTTCGTTCCATCCCTTGCTGTTCCTTTGTCTTGATATACTCGTGTGTTTCAATTCTAAAATCAAAGTTATTTTCAACTGGCTCCAGTTTTTTGATTCGTGTGATTATTTTTTTTGCAGGGAACTGAGGTTGTCCCAAACAACTCAAGATCTCACACATGTTTGCTCTCTGGAATTTTTATTGGCAACGTGAAAGTGTTAGTCAGAGTGTCATTTGGTATTGATGGGTCTAAGCAGGTTGCAATGAAACTTGCAGTTAGATCTGAAGATCCAGATATCAGTGAGAAAATTCATGAAATTGTTGCTGAGGGTTAGATGCAAACATGATTTTTTCCCCCCCCTAGTGATTGTTTCCTGTAGTTGCAGTGTTGTTGTTTGTTGGCATTAATAAAAGTAAGCTCGAAAGACTGACGGAATCAAATTTCTAGGGATTATGACATGTTTCTTGTAGCAAGCAATACATTCTGTCTTTTTGGATTTTGGTTCTTCCATTCAAGCATTATATAAAATTCGTACTTGATGTTTACAGTAGGACTCTGATATTTTTTGACTACACACTGGCTTAATTTATATTATATGCTTATATCTCTCCATCAATCTGTGTAAGAAAATGTCACCATGTTCTAGTGCTAATTGTTAGAAGTAATTATGATGGGAAGATGTCTTGTATTGTAAAATCATTTTAATATTGATAATTTGATATGAATTTGCATCCGAGCCAAAATCTAATGTAAAAACTACAGCAGATTCATTAGAAGAAAATTATAAATATCCCCAAAAGATTCTTTTTGATATTATGTTTTCTTCACCTTCTGATCCTACATGAGAGCTTTAGAAATTCGATATTATGATTACCTTTGTAAATTTCCCCTTAAAAATCAAATCAAATCGAACTTTATGACACCAATTCACGGGATGTATTCTTAGTTTCGACATTTTGATTGATAGTAATCAAAGTACATCGATCATAAAACAGTCATCTTTTTCCCTCTCCTACATGCCAATCAAACATCACAAAAAAGTTTTGCCATATGAAAGCGGATCCATTTACAATAATTTTCTCGGATCACGAATCCAGCCCTCTATTTAACGTTCTTGCCGTTTGTGGCTGAGATCCGACCCGCTTATACCTGCTTCACTCATTCTTATTTGGTAGTTAGTATTCACAAACGCCAAACCCGAATAGCCCCCCGAGGCTGAGGCGTTATCGGACCCCATCGGACTCAACCCGCTTACACCATCTTATCGGTTTTCTCGACGTGCCTCCTTATCGGATTAGTCTCCTACCCGATCCGTTTATGCCTTCGCAAAACTGCAAGCCCGTCTTGTTCGTTACTTGTTCTCGTTTTCTTGCTTGCTTCTGTATGTTTGCTGGAGTCGGGGCAGATAGGGAAGAGCTCGGTGAAGGGGAAGTGGCGGTCGGTACGGTGGATCGGCGAGATGATCACCCGATCGAAGCTCGTCGAGCAGCTCAGAGAATACCAGATCCGATCCCAGCACAAGTGGGGCGCCCTCGCGGCCTTCTCTCCCAAGCCCCAGATGACCACCAGGTTTCCTTTCCCGCTCCATTCCTTAACAATCTTCAATTATGCGAGACAAAATAGTCCTCGTCTTCGATTTGGAAACCATTTGTTTGTTATAGGCGGATTGGTTGTAGGTAATTTCGCGAGGGGAGATGATCAGACGATGCCCTTCTCTTGAAATGTGGTTTCGATTTGATATAATGGATGCTGCATTTGCGATCTTGTCCTTATAGGTTAACTAGAGAGAAAATATGTAAATATGGGGTGAGAGATTGTGACTTTTACATTGATTTTTGTCATGGTTTAGACGTGTAGAGACTGCCTAAATATGAGAATAATCCATAGGACAATCCGTGCTGTTCTCAGAAGTATACTTTAAGCAGTGTTATCTTTTTGGTCTTTCGGATGTATAGATTTTCTTTTTTAGATGTATAATTTATTGTTAGGAGCAGCGATGTGTACATTACATGGGTCTCATTTTTGGCATCTTTGAGTCAATTATGTAGCAAGGACGTTGGAATGCGAAGGTCTCTTACATGCAAAAACAAATTCAAGCCTATGGCATTTTTGTTAAAGAGGTAATCATGGGTAAGGGTAAAACTAAATTTGACTACGTAATGTGGTAGGGATTAAAAAAAAAAGTAATGTGGTAAGGGGCTAAGGTGATAAGTCTGAAACATGGGATAACAGTGTAATGACCTAAACACATATTACTTAAGGATTATTTGTGAGATAAGCAGAGAATCTTTATATAATTAAGAATCACCAAAGTAAGGGGATCTTTAAGGATAATGTTGAAGTTTCTATGGGCACATCCAGGCTCATGTGGAAGAAGAATTAAGAAAGTATATGAACTACGAAACTATGATTGACAAGTTGCGTAATTTAGACAAGGTATATGACGTACTAATGACCAATGACACTTTCCTTAAATTTAACTTCCTCTAGGAGGTGCCATGATCGATTGAGGAGCCTAAAACAAAAGCTACATAACTTAAATTGTTTCTTTAACAGGAATTGTAAACCCATGAAAGTCAGATCTCTTGCAAGAGTGGACAATCCCATTGGCTTAGAGTTGAGAAGGAAGCCAAGTGGACATCCATGGTCGTTTGCTAGTCCACTGGCTCTCAATCTGCTTAGTTATTGATTCTCAGTTAATTCATATTTTATAAAGATTTTAAGTATTGTCTGAGTCATGTTGAGGTTTAAGTTTTCTTTTCTTTCTAACTTTTTATTGTTTTTAATGTATTTTTTCCATAATTTTAGTTGCTATTCCATAATTATAAAATTAGTAAAGTGTGATGGGAGCCGACTTACCCTTTCTTTTTCTTTTCAAAAGATATCACATCTGTTTTCTAGCAGTGACATGCATTCTTTTAGGTTTTCCATTGGACCTAACCTACACTAAGGTGCTTCTGAAAAAAATATAAAGATCACTTTTAGTCGGTTCCTTGATTTTTGCTGAGTAGGAAGGGTCCCACATAAAGGCACCTAACACTTATCGGTTTGGGCCACCAGTTGCAGCAGACATGAACCTGTTACATCTAACAGGAAGCATAGTTTGAGCTCCAATTTTCTGTTCATGCCTTCTAGCTATTTGCACTAGAATTAGTTACAAATCCAAGTAAATGAAGCAGGCTTTGAAACAAATTAACAACTAAATGAAATCTTGTTTAGCAGACATTCCTTAATGCAATTGAACTGATTGAAGATTGCTTTGATTGCCTTCTTCTAACTGCATAGATCAGACCATAGATTTGTTTTAAATTTAGGAAACATTACAATTTACCTACACGCCTGACTTTTAAAATAATATAGGATGAAACGGTGATGTGATGCTTGCTCGCATCAAGATAACATGGGATTGATGTGGCCCTGATGTGATGCATCGGTGACATCCGTGTGCCACTCAATGGACCCTTGTTACCATTGTGTTTACTTGGCATGGACACAGTAAAAAGGCAACACCGACGTTGAGCCCAATGAACTCTTATGGCTATTATTGTAGCGTCCATTGGCATGGTTCAGCAGTGCATCCATGTGGACTCAATATGTAATGCAAACATGGCTTCAGTATGGTGCTTATGTGGCACATGTTTGAATAATATGGGATATATGGGTATCGTAATTTAGACATTTTATACGCAAGTCTACACCAACCAATGCTGTTTTGATGTATCGGTGCCAGCATGCCAATTAGATTCACGTATTTGTATGCTGATTTTATTAATATTATCATTAAATACTTTAATTGCTTCCTTCTTAATATAAGTATCACATGTAAATGCATGTTTGTCTTATTCATAATTTCAATATGAGACAAGTAGCAACAAGGGTCAAATGTTTGATGGATCAAAGCACAAGGTGAGTTAAGTGGCACTGTTTAGATTATCGGTGGGCAAGTTGAAGTGTTTTTTAAGCATAGGTCGACAAACTGTAACTTTACCTACAACCAGAGCTTTTACTGAAAGCAAATGGAGTGGATGCATCTATGCGAATGCCTAGAATGGCATACAGCATTATTGGTCAAGACAATAAACTCATTTACGTGGATTGTTCTTGGACCTTGCTCAGATGTTTGTACCTTTAAGAGTTCATCGAAATGCATGTGCGAAGGATAATTGATTCAAAATTCAGTATCAATGCTGAAAAAATGTGTCAGTGCTACTTGGAGGTAGGATGAAGAGCTTATTTATGTCATTGCCCCCATGTATGCCTAACTGTTGGGGGTGCTACAGCTTAATCTGTGCAAAATCTATGAAACTCTTTGGCTTGATTTGTTTTCTGTTTCTTCTTTTGTTGAAATCACATTTTTAGTATAAGATCATTCTACAGCATACATTCGGTGATATTTTGTTATTGTGCAGGCGGGATGTCTTTGTGGCTCTGACATTTGCTTTGGTATTTGTCTTGCTCATAGTATCTTGCTATGCAGCACTTTACTTCAGACACTTCCTGATTTCAGCTGTCCTTGTATTCCTTGGAATTCTTCTTCCAACATGCCTTAAGATTTCTAGGCATAGATGGCTTGCAAGGAAAAAGGAGAGAAGAATGTCATTACCTTTGTCGATGTGAATATCATTGGGATTTTATAATTTTTCAGGCTGATAACCTGTCTAATTTGCGGGCAGACATGAGATATTGGTCTAGCATGGGTTATCTACGAGATCACCCAACAATGATTTCGCATTGGTTGCTGTTGGCTTGATGATGTTCCCACTTTTCTGGAGTAATCATGGTAATGCAACCTTTTTTTGGGGGGGTAGGGTATATGTTAATGGTATCTTTTAACATTGGAGATTATCTTCGGCAGCATCTGCCGCGGCTGATATAATTGATACACTTTGCATCTGACTCAAATTCGTTATGGGGCTGATCTTTTCTCTACGTTTGCTATGATGGATCAGAGAAATTGAAGGTTGTAAAATGTTGTTGCTTTGTTTATGATGTTATATTTGTCATATTCGGAAAAGTATCACTTAATAACATCTATACTGAAATATTTTGCTTGCAAGGTATGGTCTTTGATGAACAAGAAAATCATATACATATTTGAGTAATTACATTTATATCGAACTTCATTATGCAGGAATACAAACATGATGCACTTATCAGGATTGATTTATAGCTTAAGAACAAGAATGGTCCTGATGTTTGAATCTTGATATTGAAATGCTTAATCTTGAGCATGAAAGCAGAACTTCTTTTGTACATGTCAAATAGTGGGTTTCTTTATTAATTTTTGTTCTTTTTTTTTTTCGGGATTTTTTTTGTGGCATATTGTGATTTAGTTGGTTTATAGGTTTAGATGTATATCCTTTTTAGCTAGTGCTTATGAATTTTAATCAATGATTTAAAGTCATCAAATTGTTAGACTAATTATTTCATTGGATCGATAGTATCCGAGTAGAGTACCATAAATATATATTAAACATCAATTATAAATTTGTATTGGATTCGATGTATATTTTAAATGTGTTCCTTCCGAAAGACGGTTAGCAGAGGCGGGTACGTCTCGGACGGGTGCATCTAATATCCTTCACTGTACGGTGCGGACGAGCGAAGAAGTCGGTTCGTTCCACGCAAGCGCGAATTGGATGAGTACACGTGACCGAATCTTGTCCGTTCGAACAGCACCGCTTCAATCGAGCCGTCGGTCTCCTTTCCTTGGGTCTATAAATAACGAACTCCCCGTTAGTTTTCGTCTGGGTTGCCTCCGGCTGATCGACGGATCTCGTTGAGTTCCTCGCAATTCCGCCTTGGTTTCTCTTTTCTTTCTGGCTGATTCTCTTGTCCTACATTGTATTTTGATTCTTTCCTGTTGTAGACCCCTTTGGCTCAACTCGATGATCGATCGATGGTGCAGATGTGCTTGCTGTATTTGGTTCTGTTCTCTGTTCTTCTTTTGGATCTCTAGCGTTGCAGATCACCGGGAGATGATCTTCCGCTTGCAAACCAGATAGCTGGCAAGACCATGGAGGTCTCTGGCGCTCTTCGTCGTCTCGGTTTGGTCTGTTTTCTCGGCTTATTTTCCGCCCTTGAACTTTCTTGCGTAGTCCGCAGATGCCTCTTGTGTGATATGCTGCTTTTTCATGACGTCCATCGTGGTTTCTTGCTGATTCGTCTATGTATCGGTACGTTCTTCCCTTCTTCTAATCTTTCCCTGTGGGATGTCATAGTTTCAACTCCAAGCTGCCTGAGGCGGTAACGAGGATGTGTATGTTCGATACCGGTCGACTTTCTTCTCTGGCGAAGTAGGTTCGCGGCCAAAGGCCTATATCCTATTTCTTGCTTTCTTCCATGGAAGATCGGATGTGGTGCTGATCTTATCCAAGGACGCGTCCGAGAAAGGAAGTCATGAAGCAAATAGTGTTCGATGACCATTAGATTAAGTGCAACGAAACTGGACTGGGGATCTTGATGGATGGGGGAAGGTAATTTGGACCTATACATGTTCTATAGACCTTTGCCATGTTGGGTGCGCTCGCATGGCAGGTCGCTCATCGTTAATAAAATTTTCCTTTTCTTGTGTGGGAGGAGAGATCGCACGGGGGTAATTATTTTCAGCCCCGGGTTCTCTCCTCGTGTGCTGTTTCTTTCCTCTCTGGCATTTCCATCTATCTACCGATCACACTCCTGTAGTTTCCATCGCCGTTTAAACCTCATGACCACATGGGATGCAAGCTTCGTGGCCATTTCTCCAAATCAGTGAGGTATAGATAGTCTTCCCCTTTGTTCTTCGCAAATCAGATTAAATGTCAAATTCTTTACTACTAATTTCGTGCACCTATAACTGCTACAAATTCTGATTATCGGATATCATTTCAATTTATTATATGCCAATTTTCCATTGGAATCAATTTTGCAATTTATTTGTGCTATCTTATAGTTGTCATCGGCTACATTCTCTAAGATGATACTGATACTGAAGGATGATTCTCATTTAGGGAAATGCCTGTAAATATGTTGATATAGTATATGCATCTATATATGCAAGCTTCAAATAATTTAACTGCCTATTATTTCTGCCACAATTATTTACTCATTTGTTTCTCCTTCAGGGCAACCACAAAGAACAAAAAAACATTGATGCTTACTAAGGTTGCATGATATTATTATTTTCACAAAATTTACATGTTACGGCGGTGACCATTATGAGGTTTTCAATCTTGTGATGTGTGGAATCTGGTGGTTAAATTTTCATTGTTATGTTGTTGTTATATCGTGATATTTCTCTTATGCTGTCAAAGTGAATAATTGAATCAACTATGATCGAGTGTTGTACCATGCCCCAGATCTGTCCGTGATTTGGACATACACTATGTACGTGCTCAGCCTGCTTTTAAAATCTGAGTGAACGATGGTATCACGGCATCGTCTTGAAATTTCTTCCTTGGGACTTTTTGACTTGGTTACAACTACTCTTAAGTCTGTCTTTCTTCTTTTTTATGGTTCTATTTATTCGGTGAGGCTGTCATGTGATTGGTTCAAAAATATGCCAAAGCCTCTTTTAAACTAGTTGCTGCAGAATTAGTAGCGGTATAATTTCCGTGACGTACCCATGCCGTACTCCTGATCTTTTGCTGTTGATGTGGATGTTGGGAAGCCTTTGCCGAGGCAGCAGCTCACTGCTCCCTGTGCCCTGCCGTGAAGGCGGAGTGCGAGGTCGGAATCTGTCTCCCTAAGCTTTAGTTGACAAGGTAATGAATGGTTTGTACTTTCATAATATAGCTCCACTAGTTTCAACTAGTATCATTATTATTAGAAATTCGTCCTCTCATTTTGTGAAAGACTTTTTTGCAACTGAAATTTCTTTTTCTTTTTTTTAGATTCTTTAGAGTATCTGTTCGTTATTTGACCAGATAATGCTGAATTGAATACAGATATTGTTAATTGTAGAGTAAATATTCTTTGATTTAAAACTTAGGATGTTCAATTCCATTTCGAATTTTGTATAATTTGTCATGTGGTGGCAGCTGAAGCTGCTGCGGGGTGTGCGAACCAGGAAGCAACCAAAAGACTTATGGCGTGAAATATCATCCACGTTTGAGTGGTAAATATTTGATCATAAATGGTAAAAAGTATATCATCATGACCATTATCAAATTTTCGTTGTGGTGTAAGACCTAATAAATTTCGTCCTCCGAGTAATTTCCAGATTTTGATTGAAGAGAGCATCTCTCACTGTCATATATATATATAGACACCTAATCAGTTTGTGGATCCTTGAGCTCCAAAAGGCAGGAGCCCTCCGTCATGTGAGGATGGCGGTTCGAATCCGCCAGGATCCGGACAATCTTGATACAGCGGTGGCACTCTTTTCATTAGAATATGGTTGATGAACTTCCTCGTGCTGTCGGATGACTGTCCAAAGTCACTTCCATAAGCCGTGTTTTAAGATTCATAAAGAAAAGAGTTTCCATAACGGCACCCAATAATATTCTACTGTGCTAAAAAAAAATCAGGAAATGTGGATTTTTTTCTTCAGAATTTGAAATCGTTGTATTGTGTACTCAGTAGCTTAAAGTTATGTGGTTCCGTGTGTAATATACACAGAATATTTTGATAGCTCGAGGGCTCATCTCCATGATCTATCAGGTAGTACTCGTGTTCTTGTTGCATCCGTAGACAAGCCCGATAAAGAAACATTGCTTTCTAAGGTTCTAATGTTGCTTGGTGGACACGATCTTTCAGGTTTCTTGCTGTAAAGTGCGTGCATTACAGATTGCTGATGAAGTCAAGCTGCGTCATTGAAGCATTTCCCTGTTCGAGCACTCCATACCGCTGCCAGGTAGGCACCATGTTCATGTCATGTTATGATGCTTCTTATTTGTCATCTTCTTCTCCATATTGACATCATAACATTTGTATAAGCTGCATAATAAGGCGCTACATAACATAATTTTGTATATATACCATGACCGTAGCTGCTGAAATCGTCCATCACTAAGTCAAATCATCAAATTTCTCTGAAGATAAGATCTTCAATGATGATAGATTAGCCATAAGATGAGTAGAACATGGCTTAAACGACCAGAAATGCCTGAATGTCCCGCTTGATCCGCATGCCACAAGCCTTTGCTTGTTCAAACTCATTAACGAACAATGAATCATTGCATGTTTATTCTGTTGTTTATTCAGTTCACACTTCAAATGGCTTAAAATTTCAGACACGTCAAAGTCTGGAGGAGCTTCAGAGTAGTTCCCTTTGTTGAGCGAAACACAAGTTGCAATGTGAAACCACTGTACAATACTCCAAAAACACCACCAGCAACTGACAAAATGACACGAGAAAAGAATCACAGCCCAGACTGCCAAAAGAAAATGAATCACCTGTAAATGTATTTTTGGCTTTCCCAACAGAAAAGTTGTGCATTGGTGGTGCATGAGCAGGAGCAGAAGATGGACATCTCATCTGTAGAGAGTTGGTTAGGCGGAGCCGATGAGTGATGTGCATGAACTCGATGTCTTTATTACCCAAAGAATCACCAAAGCCTTCCTCTCAATCCTGCATGTCACGTACACTGGACGGCTCTGGGAAGATCTCCTTGGACAGCCGCTTCCTAGAGAATGATTGCTCCCCTCCTCCGCTCCCTTGAGACCTGGTTGTACCCGACCATTTCACCGCTTGATCCTCCCTCGCTTGCCCTGGTGCCACACACATGGTCTCGGAGGAGCTGCGTCGCCAGCTTCCCATGAATGCCAAATTCCAAGAACCCCTTGACGAAGTCATCATCGTCAGCGTAGCGGTCGACCCGGTGGTGATGTCCTGCCTTACCACCTTCAACGGGTTCTCCACTGCCGTGAGGATATGCCTCGCTTGCGGCCGCCTATTAGGCTTCGGATTGAGGCACGACTTTGCAACGATCGCCATGGCCCAGACCTCCTCCAAGTGGTCCTCGTCCACCACCAAGAAAGGATCCACGATCTTCGTCACAGCTTCCTTCTCGTACATGTTGATGTGAGGCAGGGTGTGATCAAGCCACTCGTTCGTCGCATTAACATCGTTTGACCCACTAATGCCGAGCTTCCCGGTGATCAGCTCCAGCAACACCTTCCCAAAACAATATACGTCATATGCACATGTTGCGGGAGGCCCTGCAGATTGCAGATTTAGGGAGTAGAAGCAATGGAGTGATATGAAGCAATTGAAACAAAGGAGTCGGAATTAAATAATCATACCGGACATATTTTGCACTGATACCCTGTACATCAATCACGGAAGAGAAGCAGCGGTTAGAACTTGGCAAGCTTGATTGAATCTTAGAAAAATACGAGGGAAAGAATGCAAGTCTCATGCACATCTCTTTTTTTATTCTCTATACGATGCCTCGATTAATCCACATCTCTCTTGAAAGAATCTCAGTTAATTAAGAAACAGGCAACCACATCTGCCGAAAGACATGGTTATTTGAGGTCTCATGTTGCTTTTTAAGCCTCTTTCTATGATTGGTGCTTTATTTTCTAATAAAGGTTTTATAATCACATACAGCTACTGCTGATTTGTCTGAATGCTTTTTTACCATCAATCTCTTAATGTCGTAATCCTTTTCGCTATTGACTTGTTCAATATGCTTTATTTGTCAAAAAACAGTACCCAACATTCAAGTTAAGTGAATGACACGAAAAACCAATTTGCAAACTACAAACAGAAATCAACTGATGCAAAAAGATTCATCAAGATCCAAAATAGACAGAAAACTGACCCACCATAAAACCCTAAGATACTACTACATATATGCTATCTCAAGAATTATTAACAAAGGAAAAATGTGGATTGGAACTTACTGTGACATTCTCAATAGCCTGGTGATGGCCTTCTGGTGTGCTTCCCCTTCCTGAGCACAGACCTCACTCAAACTTCCAAGCCGCACCTCGAATTTGTCATCAAGAAGGACACTGCTTGCTTGGATGTCTCTGCAACCACAACATTCTATCCATTACGTAGTACTAAATAGGCGATACTTCTTGTGCCGGAAAGAAAATTTCGACAGGATCACCACAAAATATATCAATGGAGGCAACAGGTAGCTTTTGCAAAGAATTTAACTTTGTTAGCAAAAATTTGAATCTTATGCATAGAAAATCACTAGACGAAGCACCATGAACTCCAAGATGGCTCATGCATGTTTGATTAGTACAATGTTGTCAAGTCCAGCTGACATGTTGCATACATAATAGCTGTCAAGAATCAATCCTAGAATTATGGACGATAATGGTACACACATAAAATCTATTCTTAGTTACCTAAGCTATGTACCTATATCACCTCAGTTTTAAGATTATTTATGTATGCACATGCCATTTATGCAATAAATATATGACATGACCACATCCAGAGATGTAGTGCCCGTCTGAGAATGCAACATCCAGTGCACAAAAATCTATATTTCTGTTTGCTTATATTCAATATCTAAAGCTGAGAATAAAACAACATCCAGTATCTAAAGATTAGAGCACCTCGAGGCAGTCTGGTTGCATAAAATGTTGTGTAAACGTGTTAAATTGACCTAAGGCCGAATGAAAACATGAAGACAAAGAGGGCTGCTGGCATCTCGAGACAAGATAAATATGCCAAACATAATTGGATAAGTACAAGTGTTCAGTAATCATTCGACATGGAAAAAATGGACCAAGAAAAAGGACCAATCTGCTGCGTCGCAATTCTTCAAATGAATTAGCAAAGTAGAGAATACAAAATAAAAATAGCAAAAAAGAGAAGTTAGGTGTTGGCCTAATGTAATTCTTTAAAAGGTAAAAATGACACAAAAAGTCAGGATTCAAGAATGATCAAGAAATTCAACAGCATGAAACAGAGTAAATAATGAAAAGAAGAATCTTTTAAGCATATCCAAAATGCTTATAAAAAAAAAGTATATTGTCAAGTATTGGACACTTTGGTAACCTAAAAGACTTCAAACCCTCAGGTTGGCAAAATAACAAGACATATCCAAGTTTCCAAATTCAATAAACCTTGGGAATGGAGCTGTGGAAAGATCTATAAGATATGAAGAGTGGATAATATGTGTTTTCTCACTCACTAAGTTTGTTATATGGAGATCATAACAAAGACGATGGATAAAGCAATCCACAAGAATACATCCAGCAATCATGGTGCTGAAGGTGAAAATCAATTGAATTTGGTGGAAGAGCTTCCGAGATGATAGGGAAAACAAAAAACATTGAACCCGCAAAGACTATCTAAGATAAAAATCTAGTATCTGAATCAATTTGTTTCTATTTTCACTTGTGCAGGCAGACCTATAATTGAACTAGAGTAACCATTGTTTAACTCGACAATATAAGAGCATTACCTATGAACAAGTGGCGGCAAACAATCATGATGAAGATAGCACAGTGCCTGAGCAATGCCTGTTGCAATCTTCAACCTCTTTATCCAATCCAATGACTGCAACCCTTCTTCTGGCTCAGGTTTCGCCTGCAACACCATATAGAGGTCACCGTTTGGCACATATTTATAGACAAGGAATTTCTCGTTCTCATTCTCCAAGCAGTGGCCCATAAATGGCACCAATCTCTCATGCAAACCCTTGGAGAATAAATCCAACTCTGCAGCATGAGCATCCTTTCTGACCTTCCGTACATCCATCCTCTTCACAACCACAGGAATTCCCGTGTCCAATGTGCCATGGTAGATATCGCTCGAATGTCCCTTCTTGATGAGGTTGGCATCACTAAAATCCAAAGTAGCCCGAAACAGCTGCTCATAACTGAAGGCCTCCCCTACATTCGACAAATTGACATAAACACCAGGGACCTGTGTGCCACTGACAGATGGATCTGCACCTGCACCATTCTCGTGCAGTTCAGCTTTCCGGCCACCAGATCTCTTCAAACAGCATACCAGTAAAACGACCAGTATCACGAGCACCAGAGCACCTCCAAACGCCCCTATCAAGATATACTTTAAGTTCCGATGACCCTCCTTGGAAGTGCCTGAAGGCGGGGCAGTACCCGGTGTGTCATCACCATCATAAAGTAGCCCTCTTGCGGAATAAAACTGCAAACAGTCATCTGGACTTCTCTGATTCTTAGTATTTTTGAAGCAATTCAATCCAAAAGACACATTGCTGCTCGCATTATCTAATGGCAATCGACCTTTGAAGTAGTTATCTGATATATTTACCGTTGCAAACTTGGCGAAGACACTCCCAAAGCTAGAAGAGATATAACCATAATAGAGGTTGCTTGAAAGGTCGAAGAGAGCATCACTGTCGTTTCCTTCAACAATAGCCGGCACAAGGTCTGGAAGTACTCCAGTGAGGTTATTGTAAGAGACGTCAACCAAGCGTAGCTCCAAAAGAGACCAGAGTGAGTCAGGTAATGTCCCAGAGAAATTGTTGCGACTCAGTTTGATGGACTGAAGCCGGGGAAGAACGGCCAAGAGACCGGTCGTGAGACTGCCTGAAAGCGAGTTGTTGGCCAAGATGAGATGTTGTAGGCTCCTTAGGTTCTTGAGGTCATCAGGAAGCGATCCGGCGAGGGAATTGAAGCTGAGATCAAGAATGGCGAGCGAAGAGAGATCACCGAGCTGTGCAGGGACCGATCCGGTGAGGTTATTGTTCGCCAGAATCAGGGTTTTCAAGGCTCGGAGCGTGCCGAGGGCCAGCGGCAGCGAACCGGATAGGGAGTTGAAGGAGAGGTCGAGGTTGGCGAGGTTGGCGAGCGCCGCGAAGGACGCCGGGATAGGCCCGGAGAGGGCGTTGCGAGAGAGGTCGAGGAGAGTGAGGTTGCTCAGCTGACCGAGCGTGGGCGGGATGTTGCCCGTGATGGCGTTGCCAGCCAGGTTGAGCACGGCGAGCCCGGCGGCGCCGCTGAGCGAGTTAGGGATGGATCCGACGACGGAGGCGTCGCGGAGAATGAGGACCGCAAAGGTCGGAGCGAGTTCTCGGCCGAACCAGTCCGGGATGGGTCCGGGGAGGGCGAACCCGGTGGCGTTGAAGGAGACGAGCTGGGTAAGGTTCCTGAGCCCGTCGACCGCGAACCGGGGACTCAGGCGACCCACCCGGGTACGGCGGAGGCCGGAGAGGTCGAGGCGCACGACCCGGCCGGAGGCGCTGCAGGCGACGCCGGTCCAGGACGTGCACGGGTCCGCCCGCCGCGGCCAGTCCCGGGCTCGGAGACCAAGCGAGGCACGGAGGCTGTACAACCCCGCAAGATCAGCCGCCGAGCTCAGTTTCTGCGCCGCCGCGGCGCGCCACAGCGCGAAGACGACGAAGACAACAACGGCGACCACGACACGGGGCATGGCTACAGCTGGGCCATCAATCGCGGGCCTCCGAGCGCCTCCTCCTCGTCTCCACTTCTCTTCTCGATTCCAGAAAGATCGATTCAAAATTAAATGAAAAAAGGGGGGAAAATCGAGAAAAAAAAAGGAAACAAATTAAAAGAAGAAAAAAGGAGGGAAAAATCAAAATCCAATGGGAGAAGAAAAGAACCGAAAAGCGACCTCTGCCGCTGCTACCTCCGCAGCTACTCGTTCGGGCCAAATTAAGAGGCTTCCTCCAATTTAATGCTCATGTCCCGATTCCAAACGCCTGCTCTTTCTTCTCCCTTCTCTCCTCTCTTTCCCTCCCCCCAATAATGATGATAGTAATAGCACTGCGCGACGATCATAAGGACATTAAAGGTTAGATTACAAGGATCGGCTGGGTGGCGGCCTAGGAAGGAGAGGGAAAGGGTAGCGACGGCGCCGGCGCCGGCGACGGTGGCCGGAGGTACGGGGGGTTTGACTTGTACGGCAAGAGCGGGAGAGAGAGCTAAGTGGGGAGGTCCGACGTTAAATCATCGGCGGTGGAAATGGCTTCGTCTTCGGGCCGCAGATTCCTAAAACATCCCCCATTCTTTCCTCTCTCTCTCTCTCACCCACTCCCGCTCTTCTTCGCCTTTACATATCTGCCCTTTCGTGTTTCAATATCACGTATTCGCCGTATATATGGTTGATGATTCTGGGACGTAAATGCCCCTGGGTCAAGGGGTGACGAGGACTTTATGATTGGGGAAGGCAGGATGTTGACCGCCTCCAATCTGAACAGTTGTGATCCCGTGGAATTTTGACCGTGTGCCTCGAAATTGACGGCTCCTGATGCGGTCGTTGTCGAGTCTCTAAGACGGTGTGCCGTCTTTGCATTTCGTGCGCATTTGATTTCCCACATCATACGGCGCTTGCTGATCGAGCAGCTCTCAATTATGCTAAAGATGAGTGCAACTTCTTTCATCGTCACAAAAGTCTAACTCGACCATCTTGTCGGCAGTCAAAGGAAGGCTCTGCGATCAATCGCCTGGATATACATATAGCACCTCGTTGTTGACATTCTCGATTCATTTATATGGTTAATACTTTGGCCACTCATTCTTGGACTCCATCTTTCTCTACCTAAATTAACTCTACTCCTAGACTTGGCTTTTTCACTACCATATCTTATAAATACAGATTATTTAGAGGAAAGGAAAAGAAAAGATGGCTAAGAGCAAGTTGCTGAAATGCATCGATCGAACAGTGGACAGCTGCAACTCGTAGAAGAAAGCAAGAACCCTATTCGACACGCAATACCTTGTGATGTCTTCTCACATGCATTCGTAGGAGAAGAAGATTAAGATCATGATCCATTATTTGCCTTGTGTGAAAATGAAGAGGAGCTGCAGGTGACTGGTTCAAATATTGCTGCTTAAAATCTCTCAAACGTCGAAGAAAGTAGAACATAATAGCAGACGATATAAGAGAGCTGTCGACTCGGATGATGATAAATAGCAAGCGCGTGAGCACTGTCCTTCGTCTACCCAGAGAATTACCTGCCCCGTGATCGGAGATGTGGGGGCCACGACTGCGAGACGTGTGCTTCTTTTCTTTGTGCACCCGGGAGAGCACGGGACCCGCGTTGACCAAATCCTGCCGCCGACCAACGTGGAGCTTTTATAGCTTGCGGTGGCTCCGCGATTCCCCCTTTGACCACACGCGCCCGCGTTGACCGCCCGGGTTTTCTTGGAACATCCAATTTGCCACCACCCTCTTCCGACTAATTATATACTCGATTCAACCACATGATCACTTAATCGACTCGTCCTAAATCCGATTAAAGGATCGGGTCGAATGGACAACGGTGCCATAAAAAAAAAATTAAATATTTACTATTGTTGCTTGTTGGCATTGATCGTAGGGTCGACATGACTTGGTTTAATCCCGAAGATGTAAGTTCATCTCGGGAGCCCATAGGGGGTCGCTAGCGGAGATTGAGGTGAGGAAAAGACTCAATCAATAGCAATATTGAGATATTACTTATTGGCCAAAGGCGAACATAGTATCATTCCTAGATACGTCTTAGTCTCATCGAGGCCCCTGCATAAGCGATCGACTTCGAGACGATATTTTCAACCTAACCCTTTCAACGACAAGATTAGTTGGGAAATGAAAAATGATTGAAATGCCTCCCTTTTTACACTTTGGGGGCTGATGTTTATACTTGAGCGATCAATGAAATAAGACCAACCACTAGTTTGAGTGCTTCTTACGTCCTACAAAGACTCATTTATATCAATGGCTAATGGATACACATCTCTATGAGTGACATCAGGGAATGATGGTTGTGGGGGTGTCGTTTGTTAGACTGGAGCATATCTAGGATAAGTAAGGGATGGTCCCCTGCATTAGGCATCCGAAAAAAGGAAAAATGAGAATTAGGCCACATCACCTAAAGAATACCCTATGTCGCTAGGTGTGCATGCCTTTCCAAAATCATGATAGATAATGGTTGATGGATCATTTACAACAGATGTACCAAAAAAAATGAGAAATAAGGATGCATATTAGTATCAGGGATTATTTCACCTTGTAATTGGCTCGTGCGACTCTTCCGAAGATCAAGATGGGCAGAGATCGATGGATCGTGCTTTTATTAACACCCATAGGAAAGGGGTAGAGGGTTCTTCCACCCACATTATTTACCAGATAACAGTCTCCGACTAGATGAGTTAATACTTATGTAATTATTTTGCCTGTCACTTATCATTTTAATTTAATATTTGAGTAAAAATCGACAAAATGCTCACGAATTTTACATCATCCAACCTCGAATCTTCTAATCATCATCGGAGGAGGTTCTCCAGCATCCTTGATCGTCACTCAAAGGTTCATGTTTCCTGCGTGAGACTTACTCTTAATCATGACACCTCTATAATCGACTTATTGCCCCATACCTCAAAATTTCCAAGAGAATATAATTAAGATATATTAATAAGAGGATACTACGGCTATGCATGTCTTATATCGACGGCCAATTGGCTTCCCATCAGAATCCATGTTGACCGCTGCAGTACCTTTCAATTGGTCAACCGGCAACAGTGCTGATTTCTGCACTCACACACACACACACTGCATGGAATGGGAAACCATTACCAAGTGGGAACGCGTTTTCTCCGTCAACACAAGTGTCTCTTTCTGTGACGTGGACGGGTTAGGATCGAATGATCATCGAGATAATGCATACTGCTGAGCGAGTAATATATAGGAGATCATTAGATAAATTATTATGATGCCATGGATTCTTAACAATATAATAGATAATTGGATATATATATACAATATAATATATAGGAGATAATATACAATATAATGGATCATTAGATAAAGGTTGGACGGAAGGTAGTACTCTGTTATCGTGACTTTGGGAAGTCAACTCCAAATCAAGTCAACTGCTTCATTAATGCCTTCCTCTTCCCCTGTGATGTGGAGAGATGGAATCAACGCGCTTGCAACTAAAAAGGAAGGAACACAGCATTTGTTTTGTGCTGTCATGTCGCCATGATAAAGCTAACTTTAGATCACAAGTGTATATAGTTGTTTTCTTTTGGGTAGAATTATGTGGTTAATAGGTTGATTTCAAGCTATTATATTTAGTATTTTTGTTTTGTTTTGTAAAGGATAAGTGATAAAGATAGGGTTCGAATATATTATATTGTAATAAATTATTTAAGTCTTTATTAATTAATTTAGCCGATATATTTCAATTTAGTAAATTGACACTATTAGCGTTTATGTATGTATGTATATTAATCTCCATTAATTTTGGTTTGGGATGGTAATGTGGTGTTCGGGCCACTTTAAGCTCGGCCCAGTCCGCATCAGGGAATCGGAGGGAAGGGCTCTGCTGAACTGGACGGGACCGGCGGAGGGTTTCGACTTCCGGCGTCTTCCCATGGAGTTGCGGAGGGAAGGGCTCTTCTTCTTCTTCTTCTTCTTCTTCTTCCGGATTTCTGTGTGAGCGTTCTGGATTTCTGGATGAGGATTTCGCGAATTCCGTTTGTTCCGAAACTTCGATTGATCTGCTGTGTTGAATGCCCTTTCCAATTTGATGTGGAGGATTCGCTTTTGGAAATGGGTTGCATGAAGATAAAGGAATGCAGTTAGATTATCTTGTCTCCTTTATCAAATTTGCCCTTGGAATTTGTCCTAGCAAACGATATTAGTGGAATCAGGTTACGATCTATTTGGATAGAAGGAATGAGAGACATGGAGTGTGATCGAAGGGCTATTTAGTTATCATCATGAGAGGGGAAGACTGTATTAGATTGCGAGATCCCTAACGATAAAATGACCATCTAGGATAGTGATGATCGTCTTCCAGATACAACCTTTAATTATATTTGTATATGTACTTTTTCCTCTTTATGAAATCTAAATATTATTCTTCGCATGTAATTTGAGGCATTTGCTTCTTCAAAGTCAAATAGGCTATGATGAAATTAGATGTAACCTCATTAGACTGTTGAAAATCTAGCAAGTAGTGCTTGATTGATTATGCTGTACTCAAGCAGCGAATTATTCTGTTGTCATCTACATCCACTTTAATATTCATCACTAAGAACATCAAGAGATACCTGCTCTGTAACTTCAGCTTGTGATATCTGCACAAGACTATAGTCACATCGAGAGATACCTGCTCTTTAATATTCATCACAAATGATGTTGTTGGATCGTCCGATTATGGTACTTTAGCCACAAAACCTCATCTAGAATTGGGCTTTGTCGAAAAGTCAACTCTATGAGTTTGTTTAATCTACCTCGATCAACTTGTTACTTGTACTGCGATAGTCTCCTTACCATTTGATCATCTCTCTTAAAATAAAGTTCAAAGCAAGCACCTTATGCTTTCTTTTTTTGTTTCATATATAGTTTATACTTCATTGACCTAATCATTCTAGAGATTATAGCTTCATATCAAGTCATAGAGCACATTGATTCATATGCCCTATTTTTCATCTTAACTTAGATTTATTTTTTTTCCTTGTGCAAAAAATATTTATTTTTTATAAAAAAAATTTCTTGTGTCAATATTGCCAAAAGTGTCTCTCTGTATGTGGAGGTAAAACTGCTGGTCTATCCGATACCTTGCAAATGCAAGAGCCTTATACATTGGGTTCCACTTATTTCTTGTGTCTAGATCAGACATATCGCCGAAGCTGCCTTAATATGACTACGTGCAGAAGAATCTCAGTAAGCATTCTGCCTGTGAAAATTAGGCTGCCTGGTCGAGATCATCTACTTATTATGATTCAGGTACATCTAATTTCTACAATTATCCTTAGTATAGCATCATGTTTTTTATTTTCTTATCAGTTTGTTGTGGCTGAGTGGGGCATCTCTTTTGCTGGGGAACTTTGCAGTGGCATTGTAACTGAGGTGAAAGAAAATGATGGTAATCGATGAAAGTGTTCCTGAGATATTTACGTTCAGACAATTTTTTATGATTTAAGGTAATATAAATTGTTCATGCAGTGAGATTTCATAGATATTCTTGTTTGTTTACACAACCACTTCACTTGATAGAACAAGTACCATTCTCCCAGAATCCAAGAGCATCGGACAAATCTGATCCATGGTTGGAAGGTTAGTAAATCATAGGAAAATGTTGCTTCTTCTTTTGGGACAAACTGTTATTGATGATAGAAAACCATGCTTCTTTTTTATTTCTAGCGAGATGATGGTGCCTGATGGAATTGTCAACAGGTCTTGGTTTTAGTGATCAAGACTCGAGAGAGCAGCAAATCCGATGAAGTAGAGAACAAGTTGATGTTTTGTGATAGAGTATCATGCTCATACGCCGAAGAGCTGCATCTCCCAGATCAAATTGATGATGTGCCTTTTTGCCTTGCGTCACAGGTGAATTGTTCTGTCCTACCTGTTCTTATCAGTAATAGTTACTGTCTCATCTATTTTTTCATTAAAAATAATTAGAAAAAATTTATTACATAGAATGACGTATGTGACGCTCGTCCGAGGAGACTGTTTTATCTATTTCAATGTATAATTGGCTTCTCATGTGTGTGCCAAGTTCAGATTTATATTTTGTTCTCATGGGACTCAGAACATGAGACCTATTACTTATACAGTAATGTACTAACCAATCGGAAGAGACTGTTCTATCTATTTCAATGTTTAATTGTGCATGCCAAATATCTAGCATTGCTTCTCATGTGTATGCCAACTTCAGATTTTATATTTTGTTACAATACACTAATTCGTGCCAAATCTCTCATGCTGTTTCTCCTATAAGTTTTAAGTGATTGCCTTTCTTCGTTCATACATGGGTATATGCCTGGAATCTTCAAGTGTGTATATTCACTTAATCTTATAATTATGTTTCATGTCAAGGACCTTTTCTATACCATGAGTAATATAAGTCCATTCAATCTGTTAGCCTAATGGTACGTATTTTTTGCTCTTATTTGCTGGGGAGCAGAATATATTTTCTTTACAAAAGGTAAATGATAAGGAATTGGAGTTCATGACATTAAAATATTTAACCAGTCAATATCTTTAAAAAAATCAAAATAAAAATATACATAAGATGATTAGAAATCTGTTGAGACACTAACAGGGAATCATTATAACGATAAGTTGGGATGTGATGTGCCCAAATGACATATGAATGAAAGCGGGAGTGACGTCTGAAATGAATTATAATTTGATACCGATATTTTTTGAGGTCGGTTTGGTTGTCTTACGCGACACGATCGAAAGACGTGGCATCATCTTTGCCGCACGATTCCTCTTCCCTCGATCGTCACGACGAGGAGTACTTGCTTGGACGTCGGGATCGTGCAATCGGAGGGAGGAGAGTATCCGCCCCTTTTTTTTATTGGTTCATCGTGGGTCCCCGCGGTGCGGCACTGTTGCTTCCTCTAATCACGAGGCAGGGACACGAACAGGGGTGAGTCAGAACCTGACCCAGAAAACCGTCACCCTCCACACCTCGAACACGGATAACGCTTCGAGGGGTGGGGAGGTAATTTCGGACATGCAGATATTTTGCTCGACCCTAAAAGCTGGTCGGCGTCTTGATGTTTCCGACGGTAGATCCTTTGCGCGGTGAGATTACCTCATCGCCTACTGTTCTCTATAAATTGGCGCGATTTATAGATCTAGGGTTTCTCGTGCTCTCTTCGAGGCGGGTTGGTTTCTTCTCCCCGCCCTTCTCTTTTCCTCCGATGGCGAATTCCGACTCTGAGTTCCGTTGCTTCGTCGGCGGCCTCGCCTGGGCCACCGACGACGCTTCCCTCGAGAGGGCCTTTAGCCCTTTCGGCGAGATCATCGAGTCCAAGGTGATCTGCCTTTTGACCCGTCTGTCGACTAATTTTCTTCTCCTCTTTCGCGGATCTGTTGGATCTTATGGCGTGCGCTGTGTTCTGGGTGCAGATCATCAATGACAAGGAGACGGGGAGGTCGAGGGGGTTCGGGTTTGTTACCTTCCGCGACGAGCAGTCGATGAGGGATGCCATCGAGGGGATGAACGGCCAGATCCTCGATGGGAGGAGCATCACCGTCAACGAAGCCCAGGCCCGCAGCGGCGGGGGCGGCTTCCGCAGCGGCGGAGGCGGCGGGTACGGTGGTGGTCGCCGTGACGGAGGAGGGTACAACCGCGGAGGAGGCGGCGGCGGCTATGGAGGAGGCGGCGGTGGCTATGGGGGAGGCGGTGGTGGCTACGGAGGAGGCGGTGGCGGCTACGGAGGAGGCGGTGGGTACGGCCGCGACCGCGGATACGCCGGTGGTGACGGTGCGTCCCGCTTCCCGAGGGGCGGTGGTGGCGCGTCGGACGGGAACTGGAGGAAGTGAGCCGTGGTCGAGGGCTCTGTGGTGTCGTTAAAGTTATGTCGGTCTCGTTTGGTTCGCGTTGTTTGCTTTTGTGATTCCGCCGTGGTCGTTGCTGTGATGTCTTTGGTCTGCGCCTCCCTTTCGGTCATCGGAAAGGATTTGGTTCGCGTTGTATTTAAAAGTTCCTTCCGATTAGATCTCTCTCCGGACGGCGCATCTTCGTAAAGGGGTCTCTCATTTCATCGACAGAAATTAGTCCAAATATTTACCAAATTCTAGCAGATGATTCACAGCATTGCACAACTAATAAGATTTTAATTTTGTGTATAGCTTTGTGATCTTTAATTCCTCGCGGTGTTGATGGTGGCAGCAACGACCATGGAAGACACTGTTATGTCGATCCGATGCTTGCTCGAGCGTATGTGTGCTACTGTAGTAGGCTGGCGGTGACATCTTTCCAGTTCGCGGCTGGTGCATTTGGCCACCGATGGAATGTATACATGCAGTCCTGCAGTCATTGGCAGCAGCAACACTACCATGGAATTCGACTGTTTTGTTTGCGACGAACGCATAATTGAATGTTAGAAATATAAATTAGATCTCCTCAGTTCTAAAGTCTTTAGATGGAATAATAATAATATTATTATTATTGGATTCAGTGTTTTCTTAAGCTTTTAGATCAAGATGATTGGATTCAGTGTTTTGAGTTACTCTTTAAATCCGAACCGATTTGAATCAGATGTCGGTTTTAAATCGATTCAGATAGTTCGATTCGAAATCGAACTGAAATCCAATAATTTTTGCATTGACGATTAACGGTTTGAGACCGAGTACAGATGAATTTTGAGCCGTATCCCAAACGATCCTCTTCAACCTCATTACAATTAGGACACGTTGGAGAAGGGTTGCGACTTCCCAGGCCATGCAACCTGTTGACCCAACGCAAGGAAGCCCCACATCTTGTCAACCACTTCGCCTCTCTCTCTCTCTCTCTCTTCACCGTGGATGGACTTTACTAACGGAGACATGATTCGAGTATCATGATGTGAATCGGGGAAGCTTGGGAGGTGCGAGTGGTGGTGTTGTTATTTTGATGTCGTGAATCACCGTGATTTGATTCTATCTCAAAGGCTCATGGTCGTCCAAATGACCCATGTGGCATTTGAGCGAGGAGATTGAAGTCCGGGAAGGTTTGATCGAAACGATTTCGAGATGACAATTGAGTGTATAAGGTGACTCCCAAGTCGAATCGAGGTATGCTCTGGCCTCCTCGGGGTTCTGGGACTGAGTCGAGGTGTGCCTTGGTCTTCTTGGGGATCCCGTATAAGAGGTCAGCGTCGGAGGAGATTTTTTGACGTGAGTCCTGTGATGGTAAAGTTATTTCTTATGGAGTTGAAACAGTAGTGGATTCGAGTCATTCTATTTCACGTGCTTTTGGTGTGTCTCACTCGATGGGCTTATTGTAACAAAATGCCCCGACACGAGTCGGGTTTTCCGGCACACATCTTGGGCACCTTTTGCTTGATTTTTCCATCGTGGCGGCCATTCGTCCGTACCATAGCGAGTCAGGGGGGTTTCGTCATGGCAGACCTTTATCCCCATCGTAGTGAGTCAGTGGGGTTCCACTGTGGTAGGCCTTCGTCCCCATCATAGTGGGTATCCATTCTGGTCGTAGCGGGTCTGCTTTCCCACCATAGCGGGTCTTTATCCTTGCTGTAACGGGTCTCCGTCCTCATTGTAGCAAGTCAGTGGGCTTCGACCATAGATGACAATCGTCCCCACCGTAGCGGGTCTTCTTTTCTACCGTGGCGAACCTTCATCTTGCCATAGCAGATAGCGAGTCTTCATTTCCACCATAGCGGGTTAAGGGCTTCTGTCATGGTGGGCCTTCATTTCGACGTAGCAGGTCTTCATTTCCACCATAGCGAGTCAAGTGCTTTCGTCGTGTCAGACCTTCATCACTGTCGTAGCAGGTTTGTGCAACCCTTCATTGTCGATCGGGATGGGGTGTTCCCACAGGGCAAACCCTCATGTAGCTGGCCAAGGCGTTAGGTCCTAGCTTGCCAATCCATCGTGTTGTGGCAAGGTGAGGCGACTAGCAAGTGGACATCAAATTGTGGTGGATTTTTCCTGCCTCCTCAGGTCGTGGTGGGTTTTTTCCCACCTTGTTAAGGGTGCAATAGGTCTCGAGGTCCGTGCCCTCTCCGTGGGTCTTGAAGCTTCTACCCTTTATGGTAAGGCTCGAGTTCCCCTACTATCATGGGCTCCCTCGAGGTGCTATCATGAGGGGAGCTTCCTGCCATCAAGAATCTTCCAGGCTGGGGACAACTAACCCGATTGTGGGAGGCAAGGGGGCGAGGACTCTCTTCAAATTTCTTTTGTTCGCTAGGGGGAAAGGATCATTTTGTGCCTTAGCCCTTTTCTTTAGCCTTCGCATTCTTGGATTTCAGGAGCTTTTGCCTTATCCTTTGTCATTGCCTTCGAAGGGTTGATCGACCTCTCCCCATCTCCCTCAGCAATCCTCTAACGTCCACAAACTAGGTCGAGATGTCTTCGCCCTCGCAAACTAGCTTTGATTCATCAAGTCGACAGTCCATTGAGGTTCATGCTTCATCCTCGAGTAATCTAAGAGTGGAGCAGGTTGATTTGCCCCCATTTGGGGATGATTCTGATGGATCCAAAAGCCCCTTTGGGACCTGGAGTCCATGCATGGTGCTCATGACTATGACTCAATCATAATTGCATCTCAACTAGATTGGCTGTGATCTCTCTATTGCATCTCACCAAAGTATGAGCTGCTTGTCCCAAGACCTGGGCAGTGTCCCTTTGACCCGATCCTCTGGGCCTTCTATTTATTTTGTGATGCCCTCGAGGCGGGGCTACACCTCTCATTTCACCTGGATTGGCTGTGATCTCTCTATTGCATCTCACCGAAGTACGAGCTGCTTGTCACAAGACCTGGGCAGTGTCCCTTTGACCTGATCCTCTGGGTCTTCTGTTTATTTTGTGATGCCCTCGAAGCGGGATTACACCTCTCATTTTTTCTCATGACATCGAGAGTGAATGATTCTCTATCGACACTCAATTGCTTTTGTAAGGTTGGTTACCACTTCCGATGGTCGACTATGTTAGATCTGGAACCTCCAGACCTATAAATTCGGTAGCAAAGAGCGGAGTACTTATACAGGGCATCATTGGTGTCTCAAATCTAAGGACTAGACACACAATCGAGACCACAAAATCACTGTCTGATGATGAGGTATCATTAACCATTTAGCATTCTATGAGCGAAACTATTAGTGAACCCATTCTCCAATGAGCACCTGCATTATACCCATAGTGTCCCCACATGAGTGACTATTAAATCAGCCGCCTCCCTCATATGGACGGTTATACAGCACACCAGTATGTCCGGTTATCTTGATGTCCATATCGAGTAACCTATGACTAGAAATATTTAGGGTTTGTGTTTATAGGTAAATTAGTCTTATTATCATGATCTCATCATGATCTAATTCTCATTGCACGGATCCAAGAACAATATAATATATTCATCATCTAATATAAAGTGAAAAATATAATAATAATAATAATAATAATAATAATAATAATAATCAATTATAATCAATTATAAATTTTTAATTTTAAAGGATAAAACTATCATTTTATTTAGGATATATAATCGAAATTTTTTATTTTGAAGCATAGAACTATCAAAATGATATAAATTAGAATTAAATGAATTTACAAGGGCAAAACTATAATTTGGATAAGAAACCGTAATGCTAGCCACCCTCGTAGTTGTCGTTATCATCGCGTGTTCCATTGTGCCCATGCGCGTGGGTCAACAATGATTGTTTGTCGCTTGTAAGCCGCTTGTCGTCCGTCACCCATGGTGGGGTGGTTGTCCTCACGATTAACCGACGACCTCATTGATCGTTGCATCATGTCGCCATGTTTCTCATTGGTGAAACGCCTCTATGGTGCACTGCTGATTGCGTGGCTACGCATATGCGTCGATTGACGACCTCCATAATCGTTGTCTGCAGTTATGCTTGCACTTCCTATTGTGCAGTCATTGAGAATCATGGTCTCAATAATACTGTAGTCGATAGTAATCCATTAATCAAACATGAGGAACTTTGCATCGCCCGCAAGCAAGCGATAGAATGGATTGGATAGAAAAGTAGATCGACAATATAAATGAATCATTTATGCATCATAAATAAAAATTGCATAACACCTTCTTGTAAGCGAGTAGCGCTAACAATTAGATCTAAAGTATTTAATTTCACAAACATGACTATGATACCAATTATAAGTTAAAAAAATCATCCTTATGTTTCATTTAGACAAGGGGAGATGATAGAAGATCTGTAATATCTTATTGATCGGTTCACGTGACTAAGAGGAGATAAAAGAAAATCTATAATATTTCAACAATATCAAGTATCTTCGTCTCCTCTTAACTGTATATCCAAGTATTCACATATCCACACATTGTGTATATAGTCTTTTAGTATATAGTTTAAAATAAGTAATTAGGAGAGTCCTTCCCATCAAGAATCTCCTAAGGAATTACATCATAATTAATTTTTTTTATTAATCGATAATCAAATTTATCATATTTATAAAATATCTTACCAAATTAGATAAAGAAAATAATAGCAAGATGATGTTACTATATGTTTTGCAATGACTATACAAACCCCATTCCACATAGAAACAAATGGGAGAAAAAACGAAAAGGCGATAATATATTAGTGCCTGAGCTCCATTCATCGTTGTAAGTCTAAAGTTAATCATTAATTTCTCCTCTCTCTCTCTCTCTCTCTCTCTCTCTCTCTCGCTCGCTCTCGCTCTCCCTCTCTCTTTACAGGATTCATTCATTCATACGTGTGAGTCTAAAGTTAATCATTAATTAAATTTATTATTAAAAATATCTATTTACGAGAAAAAAATATAAAAAAAAACTAAGAATAATCCATATTGGTAAATATCGTGAGAGTTGAATGATATATATCGGAGTCTAGCTCATAATATATAAATCTAAGTTTTTGGGTTAAATTGATATCTAACTTAATATATATTAATTTTGATTAGTTCCACTCATTCATCGTCGTAAGATTTCTAACAATTACGAAGATAGTGCGACCTAACCCTTGTTCAATCGTTCAATTGTATCCTAATTCCGACATAAGAGTTAGAATCATTTGTCTCGATCACCTTTCTTCGAGAAAAAAGAAAAATCCTCGAATGTGACCATTCAGATAGAAATCACAGTAAAAAAAATCATTGTTCGAAGATTTTTCGTATACAATCAGAAGTCTTTGATTAGAGAAATATTCTCTTATGAAAAAGCATTATCGATCGTGATTGATGCTGACGCAGCATATGAGCTTCCAAGTGCCAAGTTGCGTCCCAGCAGCAATATGCATAGTTCTATACGAGGAGTAATTATGCATGTCGCCCACAAGAGATCTAACGTCTGACCCCTTTATTGGAGACAAAAGGTACACCCGGATGAGGTAAGCCTCATGCACATGACTCCACCAGAAGCCAAGTACAAGCACAGAGTAAAAAAGCACTAGATCAAGCAATCAGAATGCAAAGAACCAAACCAAATCGATAGGTTTTATATGGTGAGAAAGCTCTAAAGCAAGATTCGATTCTTTTGAAGGAAAACTGGTACGAGAGCATATCGAAAAGCAACTCTAACACTGTAATGCTTGACATTGCTTTCGATGCCACTTTATGGTACTCTGTGCATTGAAAAGTCAAGAAATTAAGACAGACACATGTGAGGAAGAAAATGGGACTGATGTACTTAAATTAATTGGCTTCGAGGTGAAAGAAGTACGGAGGAATGCTGAAACCAAACCTCCGAGAGGGAGAATGAATGTTCAGTGGTGGTACATGTGCTGCTGCTCTCTGAAGCGGGACCGGAGAAGGCAGAGCTGAGAGTGACCGTCGCATCTGCTTTCCACTGCGAAGCAGCATCGAACTACCAAAAGCTCCAGCTTTTAGAGTTTCATGTATATTCTCTCGATCGATGCATCGGATTAGAATTAGAATGCCAAAAGAGAGAGGGAATAGAAAGGTTGTAATGGCAGAAAACCTACTCACCCCGCACAGGAATGAGGGGAGCCGTTTCTGAAGCACCGAGCCTCTTCACATCGCCATTCATGATGTGTGCGGCTGTACTCTTATTGCCGCCGGCGATGGCATTAGTAGCAGCGGTGAGAGGAATGAGAGGGAGAGGAGGAGGAGGAGAGTTGGAAGTTTTCGTCAGTTCTCTGGCTTTTTCCGCCTCCACCATCCAATCCGTTCTGGCGAGCGCATACGCCATGAGAGTGGCGCACGATGCCTGCGCCGCCAGCAGCCCCAGCCATAGCCCCGGGAACCCCATCCTCCGGAAGAAGCCCAGGAGCACGGCGACGGGCGTCCCGACCAAGTAGAAGGAGCCCAGGTTGATGTTGGCTCCGGTGGTCGGCCTCGCGCTCCCCCTTAGCACGCCGCACCCGGTGGTCTGAGGGCAGTTCCCTAGCTCGCACAGCCCGGCGATCGGCAGCGCCAGTGTCGTGAGCTTCAGGATCTCTGCGTCGTCGGTGAACAGCCTCCCCCACCGATGTCTCATCGACGTGGTGAAGGCCATGGCCGTCAGCCCCAGCACGAGGGCGCACGCCAAGGACACCATGGTGGCCGTCCGGGCCTTGGCGGGATGGTTGGCTCCTAACACGTTGCCGACGCGGGCCGACACCCCGAAGCTGAGCGCCGACGGGAACACGTACACCAACGACGTGGTCTGGATCAGTATGCCCATGGAAGCGACGGCAGCCTTGGGGTTGGGAAGCAGGCCACTGAGGAGTATCATGAGCTCGTACCACCACCACTCGAGGCAGACGGACACGCACGAGGGCACGGCGAGCTTCAGCAGCGCCGACCACCCCCTGAGGCAGGTCATGCTGGGGCGCACCCACGAGTCCTTGCACGCGCCAGAGCACAGCACGAAGAGCAGCAAGCAGACGAAGAGATTCAAGTTGGTCCAGACCATGGCCAAAGCCACGCCCGCGATGCCCATCCGGAGACGCACCACGAGGAGGTAGTTCAACGGGATGTGGAGGACGACGGAGACGACGGAGCAGCAGGTGACCGGAAAGGTAACATTCTGAGATCTCAGGTACACGCGAAGAGGGTGGAGAAAGGAGAGGAGGAACAGGTCAGGGATGGCGAACGTGATGAAGACGTGGGCGGCGGAGGCTATCTGCTCGTCCTGCCCGCACCAAGACAGGATCCTCCTCATGTTGCGCCATAGGAAGGAGATGGGGACGGAGGCGGAGAGGAGCAGCAGAATGGCTCGCTGCAGGGTGAGGCCGAGGAGCTTGCGTTGCTTGGCGCCGAAGGCCTGGCCGCAGATGGGCTCCATGCCCATGGCCAGGCCGGAGAGGACGGAGTAGCCGGTGATGTTAGCAAACCCGATGGAGAGAGAGCCGCTGGCGAGCTCGAGCTCGCCCAGGTAGCCGAGGAAGAGCGTCGAAACCATGGCGCGCGAGTAGAGGACGAGACCGGTGAGAGCCGCCGGGACAGAGATCGCCCCGATGGCTCTCATTTCCTCCACCACCTGAATCCCAAGTCATGCAGCATCAGAAGACACGCGGCGGCTTCGTAGAAGAAGCGTACAGACAGTGTTACCTCGGAAGCAGTGGGGCACCGGTGGAGGTCTCGACCGAGGGGATGAAGAGGGAGATCCTCCATGCGAGTGCAAGTCTCAGCCTCGGAGTTGGGAGGGAGAAGGGGTGAGACGCGAGGCCTCAAGTAGTGGAGGAGGACGCCATGCCGCGGACACGCGTCGATCGTATGGTGTGATATCGGAGGTGGGGAGGCCCAATGGCCGACTCGAGGTTAGCTCGAGCACTTGTTCCCTCCCGCTGACCAATACAAGGCGAATGGGAAATGGGCGGCTGATGGTCAAACAGTTCGTTGTCGGTTGGGAAACTGTTGCTTTCGACGTTTGCCGCTCCAGACACTCATGCCATGGCCATCATATCCTGCATTTGACTTGCAACCGAGAAATGTGAGAGCATAAACCAGTACCGTATGAACAACAAGATCATGCTACTTGTTTCATACACTATACTTACCAATCACCAAATGAACAGTAAGAGAGAGACTTGAGTTCTAAATATGCCGACAATTAGAAGGTGTGAGGAGGAGGCAAGTAAAATGGAGAGGACAGACACCGAGGCAGCAGTAAATGGGGCAGTGTCAATAAAGCAGTTGGAAGGTAGGAAACAAGAGGACATACGTGCCCCAATAGACCGCCCACTCATCCATGGGCATACTTTTCCACAGCATTATCTTTTGACAAGCACAAACCGAGACAACGTTCTCTGCAAATAAGCTGAAGGGACACGTATGTGCAACCTGTGACCAAAGAGTGCAGTGTGGACACTGATCACCTGTCACCTTCTCATGCCCAGTTCCCAGTCTCTCTCTCTCTCTCTCTCTCTCTCTCTCTCTCTCTCTCTTTCCTGCTGCAGTTTAACTCTATCTTTGTAGCTTATGATCGGAACCTGTATCATTGACCTAGACATTAGGCCCCATAGAAAACTCTCGCTATATAAAATGGTCCAAGACAGGTGAAACTATACAGGTAATATGTTGGAATTTAAATTTGGCCACAGTCGGATGCATGATCAGCACATAAGAGGTTCAAAGAAGAAAAAAAAGCTTACCTGCTGTCCGTCGTAGAGGATGAGTACAAGTGGAAACTGAAAGAGAGCATTGGAGAACATATCAACAATATTGTCTTCTTCACGACACCGGGGGGATTAGCAACATAGCTAATACCATCAGAACGTAAACAAGGCTCTGAGGGGGTGATGATGAGCCTGCAAAGAATACTTGCGTTACAGTTGCTGATACTAACACAGTTCTGATGAGCGATGAACAGTGGACCACCACCAGCTGGGTTGGTGGTCATGATGACACCTGGCTGAAAACTGACCTCCATGGCCCGAGCATTCATAGAGCTGCAGTGGTGCCGAATGGTAGGGCCAGGGCTAGTTTCCTGAGACGACGAGGTTTCTGCAACGCGCATTGCTGTCTCTATTTAAGTAGGCTCACTGAAGAAAAAGAACCAATTCCTGGAATTGCCAATTATGTGTTCAAAATCCTGTAAATCATCAATTTATTATCAATTATCATAATCAACCAACATGATGCAGATAATAATAATGAAAGCAATAATGGAGAAGAAGGGTGGCAGCTTGTCGGGCACAGTATCTTCACTAATTCTTGTTTGAGAAAGCATTCTTCATCACTGCATGCAATCAAGGCGAAGATAACCAAGGGTTCAATTTTACAATATTTAGATATATGATCACTGCTGGTGTTCTGGATTTACGATCATAATATCCGCTCTGATACTTATTCCATAAGTATATCCATGAAGCTTTTTGAGTCCAGGAAAAGCGAACATTGTAGGCAAATAGATTTTTTCAGTGACCAGAACTTTGCCATGGCACCAGCCAGGAACTTATTTCAAGATGCTGATGAAAGAACATTTGGTGACAACTTTAAAGTTCATAGTGCCTAAAAACAAAGGCATGACTCCATCCATAACACTGATCGGTATATCCATATTTTGCTTGCAACTACGAGGCTCTCAACTACAATGAGTATCATTGTTAAGGACGGCAACATTGTACTGCAAGGAAAGGTAAACATTTCGCCAAGTTATCCAAAGGAATCTGTATATTCTATCTAGGCTTAGATTTCTGACAGAATATAATAAAGTTTAACTTAATAGACAGCTACAGAAAGAAAGAAGATATGCACTTATAGGAAATCATTGAAAGTGTATTAAATTTATCAGTTTGATACACAATAGTGATAATTGTTTCTGTATGCAATAGCAATCAAATAGCAATATAGATCAAGGACGCATTAATAAAATACTTATCTTTGACCCCTTCGTCCTGCAATATGGGACCGAGGGAGACCAATAATTGCCACAAGTCCGCTCACAAAAGCTGCAAGTCCCCCTACAGCAAAGGCTGGTGTATTGCCACTCCCAAATAATTGGTCCAATGGCCCACTTCCCTAAGATATGAGTACCTGATTTAGCACAATTTTCATCAGCAAAAATCAAGCATGGCTTCAAACATATAGAAAATCACATGGAGCCTTTTCATCTTTATGAAAACCAATAATCATACTAAACTATATTTGATTAGTGACAAATCAGACAGAGGTCAGCAACTGCTAGTTATATTTATGGCACTGTCGGAATTCACTGAATCTGCACCAGCTCTATTGACCAGATTAATCGTGGATTTCTTCCGTGATAAGAACAAATTACCACATCGATTGTAATAAGCATGGCTTTCATCATTTTTATATGGCTTGCTACCGCCAAATGGCAATCAATTCATACCTAGGAGCAATATAAACCTTTATCTCTAATCAGACATCTATTATAGATTCTAGCAAAGATGTAATTAATCATCATAGTATATAAATTAACAACCAAAAAACGCAAAGGGGTTGCATAAAGAATCAAATGCAAAGAAGACTGTTTGAACGCATGAGAGGAGAGTCCTCGAGTATCAATATTTTCTTGTTTTCAACAACTTTAGCACTTTTATGTCAGATTGAAAATGAGTGGCAGCATCTCAAAATCCTTTTGGAGCCAAGTCACAGAGTTTTTATTAGCAAGCTCTACCCAACCCCAACTGATGGAAAAATACTTCAATGATATTGATGATCATGATAAACCACAAGAAGAATCCATTTACTCTATGACTAAGGCATGTAGTTTTCTTCTTACATTCTAACTTCTATTCATCTTTGTGTATACCCTTATAATGATACAAGTATCTCTTATTTACATCAAGCCAAAAGCCATAATAGAGGATGATATAATATCATTCAAAAAATCACTTTTCTACTTGATCATCCAATGGGACTACCATTTGCTCCTAAAAACATACAAGACAGGATAACTAATGGCAAAATATTTGTTATGTCAATATGATAGTGAAAAAAAATGTCTACCTGAGGTATCACAATTGCCAGATTTAAAATGCCCATGGCCAATCCTGAAGTAAAGAGACAATTGTTTCAAAACTGAAAACAGAGCAAAACAACAATTGAAACAAAATAAAAGCAACTTGTCACCCACCCTGACCAAGCCCTAAAGGTTCTATACATGCAGATATCATTGCATAAGGAATAGTATGTGACCTGCAAAGAAAAAAATACTAGTTAAACAAATTAATAAGAGCATCGAAGATACAAGTTACAATCATGATATGCAATTTCGAATGGTACCACCCGGTACGGGCGGTACGTACCGGTTCGACAGTATATCGGTACACGGACCGTACGTTACCGGACGGACCGTGCTATAGCGATACAGTAATATACTGTAGCGGTGCTACAGTGTTATAATAAAAGGAAATTGCTCGGTAAGCCTTAGTGTACCGTTCGGTACGTTGGTACCGTATCGAACCAATCTCAAAACACTGGTATAGTACGGTATTGCATACCTTGATTACAACAGCAATAAAAAAGACTCGCTTCCAAAGGTGCCCCGAGAACTGTAAAAATAACAAGTGCAGCAATAACAACACCATCTGGAGGGAGTCCATCTTTTGGGTATTCCACATTTTTCGCCAGAGAAGATATTATAAGCATTGCTAGAAACCATAAAAACATGAAAATGTTGGCAATTCCCCAGGTGAAGCCAGCACCCCACTTCCTGCAGAGTTTTTCCAAAACCACTGAAGTACAACCGACAACAATGGAATTTAACATTAGACCAGTAGCCCCCATTCTTACTCCAGTTTGATAATTTTTCCCTTCATTTGGGCTTCCCTTGCACATCTCCTGGCCCATCCAATCAGTATCCAAAAAGAAGAAAGGAAACCATCCTATCCAAGTAAGTGCAGTGACAATTAGAACCGCCCATATAGGCAGCGTAAGATATTTACACGAACCAACTAATTCCCATAGAAAAGCTTCATGGCCATCATTCAACTGCACTTGTACTTCTCCAGCACAATCTATAACTCCACTGGCAGAAGAAAGAGGGATTTCCTTGGCTGATAAGACACTTACAGTAGTGGTGATCATAAGAAGAACAACATCAAGAAGAAAAGCAGATATGATATTGGCACAATTTATGCTGCATGCTGCAGTGACATTGAAGAGAAGGATGCTAAACCAACGACTATAAGAACCAGTAGCAAAGCCAAGTACATTCCCCAGTGCCATGAAGAGTGAAAAATAAGCATTAGCTACCCGAGTCCGTCTACGATCTTTTCCTGAAATTGCAGAAAATACATGAAAAATATACAGCAATTAGGTAAGGTATAGAAAAAATATGAAACATCTTGAGCTCTTTAAGTTACTAATGTGAAGATTGCCATGAAGTGTATCTTTTGGGCTACAGGACTAACCCAACAAGAAGTTGGGCATGCCATTTCTTCACTAAAGAAATCTTCCAAGTAACGAGCAAGTTAACTTGTTCACTTGTGCAAGTGTCTTTTGTTGTCTTTCTCATGGTAAAAAAAACCCTACACAACAGAAACAAACTTTGCCATTTTTAACCTCTGTTCCACAAGAACTCCCAGATACTGAAAGCGACTCAGAGTTTTAAAGGATACGGAATATATTAAATTTAAGTCAAGTCCAACGAATACATGACCAAAAAATCATGGCAATCAACAAAATGAAGCAGTCAAATCAACGCAACAAGGTGAGCAAGCT